TCCTGGGCCTGGTGGCTGATGGTGGATCCTGGGCCTGGTGGCTGACGGTGGCTCCTGGGCCTGGTAGCTGTTTGAGGCTCCTGGGCCTGGTGGCTGATGGATCCGCAGCCAAACAGTTTCTCTCCCTCTTTTACTTTTACTATGGTTTAGCTGTCCTCATATGCGTTTTTTTCAAATGTTTGCTTCATTTAGTTGCTGCTGTCAAAATGCTCAGTAACAGAAAATTTGCTCAGAAAATTTGAAATATGCTATAAATTAAAGTTATTATTTCTACTATTCTGTGTTTCAGGACGGCTCACGCACAGGGTAAAGCTGAGGCGGCGGTAGCAGCAGCTCAGAAGGCCCAGGAAGAGAGTCGCATCGCGAGGGTCACTGCCAAGCAGTTCTCCCCTTCTTTCCAGCACCCAGGAAATGGTGGGCAACCATACATGCACTGATTAAAAATTTTATATATAGCACATGTTCATATCCGTCTCTATAGAGATCCAGAAACCAAGCCGAGCAGGCAGCAATACGTAAGCATATACCCCGAACACACAAAACACATCAAGAGCTGTGTGTGTGGTAAAGGTCAACGCCAACCACCCTCCAGCTTCGCGGTTCTGCCACTGTCGCTCATACCTGTAGAACGCTGCAGGTAGCCAACACAGTCCAACATGCAGCGTGACACACACGCCCACAATGACTTCATGCCGTGCGCTGTACACACACACACAGAGTGGAGATGACAGTGATTGTTCTTTTGCCGTCAATTCCGCTCGTCTGCTTCTTCGCACGGCTAAAAAAAACCTCACGCACACAGAGTTGTGAGAGCATCTTTGTCAACAAGCATCAGCGCTGACATTTTGCAGGATGTTTGTTTTGATAACCTGTTTCGATAATCATCATCTACCTTACTGTTGCCGCCTCGTCTGCTTTCTGACAAAAAATAAAGGACTGTATGGAAAGATGTAAATGTGGAATGGATGAGAAGATCGATTATGGAAGGATCTTTACACTTCTTCTCCTCCCAGTTTAATTTTTGTAAATGTTTTTTTAAACAGACTTCTAAAAAATTAGTGAGTTTTGTGTGTTTTTATACTTGACATATTTTTTTTATTTGGAAGGCATTGCCAGGCAACTTTGGCGCCATGTAGCTGATTTGTTAATGTTAATCAAGTGGACTTTGAGTGGAGGGAAACTGCTGCAGTGCACAAGTCCTTCAGCAGGCACAGAACTCCCTACTGTGCTTTGTTCACTGTTTACGTAACAGTTTCAGAAAAACATGGAGAGTAGCTAGAATATTCACAATTTACCGTGTGATATTTTTTAAAGTCAGACATTGAAGATGTATTTTATTTAAATGACCCTCAGCTGTTACTCAGCAGAAGAGAAACCTGACCCTTTAAAGTCTGAACCGTCAAATAATTGCCAGAAAATTTACATTTTTGTGAAAATTCAATGTTCATTGAGCCATCTGACATTTTTTTATTAATTTGAATTTGTGTATATGACTTTTGATTTGCATTATATTTGGTACATCCGTCATGTTTTTTGTAATTTATTGTTTCAAAATGCATTGTGCAATTTATTTATTTATTTTTCTATTTTTGTAAAAGTCTAAAAAACTCACAAAAACTGTATGTATCAAATGTGATACACTAGCCATGAACCCGGCATGCTTGTGCGTGGCTTGTCCGTAGTTGCTGTGCCCATGTTGTAGCTATTTACTGTCAGAAGGGGGCAGTGTCCTGGTTTGCCCGTCACTTAGGGGCTGCTATAAAGAAAACATAAGTCATAATTTACAAAAAATACTTATCAAATACTGCAACCATTGTTTGCACATTCCACAAATGCTTTTTGAAAAATGTTTTGTACAGTTGTTACTGCTCGCAGAGATCTTGACATCAACTCTTTTCTGTTCAAGCCAGCTTTTTAATCAGTCAGCATTTGACCAAATAGTCATCAAAAAGGAGCCTGACAAACCAGTGGGTGACATCTACCTGCAACCATCTCTTATACTGTGTGATTGGGCTACACACTGCTAGCTTTTTGGTGTTTTTGTGTTGTTAAATTCCCACAATCCCAAAGATCTGCACAAACAGAGACTTACTTAATAATGCTTTTTTACTACAAGCCAAAGTTTCACATTTTACACAAACATTTATTCATTTATTCTGGGCTTTTGAGCGCTTATCCTCTGTCACATATACACTGAAACTCTAATGAATGCACCGAATCGGGGAAATTTGGGGTTCAGTATTTTGCCCAACAATACTTCAACATGCTGACTGGAGTAGCTGGAGGTTGCTGTACCATAAATGCTACAGTCGTCTGCTGACTTCCCTTCTCTTCTTCTTCTGTCTCCTCTCCTATGTGCTCTGTGCTCTGTCTACCCCACATTGCACATGCACAGCTAAATTAATTAAATCAAATGAATTATCTTTGCTTTAATCATTATGTTTTCCTCTTTGGCTTCTTGGTGATGTGGGAGAAATGAGAGTTCTGTTGGCCCAGTGGCTTTAATCCTGTAAGCAGATGGAGTAGGGAAAACACTGCGAACATAATGTCTAAAGAAAACTGGATTGTTTTCTTGACAGTGTTAAATTCAGCCCTCACTCTAACCCAGTCATTTTTACACATGTAACGAGATTTTATGCAGTGTTGTCAAACTGTGGGATTATTTTCTGTGGGTGTTGTCACACTTACTCACCAGCCTAAAACAGTTGCATGTGATAATTGGAATTGCAATGATATATTTTATGTAAATGTAAGATTGAACCCCATCATGTTTTTACAACAGCCCCTTACTTTTTATTTATATACGTTTGATGTTATTTTTTTTCTACAGTGATAATGGTGTATCATTTAGAAACCCAGATTGGGTAATTCCAACAAGTAAAACTCCTTCATCTCCTCCTTCTCGTCCTGAATGCCTTTCTGATGTCTTCTGCAGGTATGGAAGTGCAGCGTCCCAAACGTCAAGTGTCCAGCGAAGTGGAGGGCGAGGGTTTGTCGAGTAGCGCTGGTACGGCCGACAGTCCTGACCTGTATGTGAAGAGCGCAGCCTCTGACGACCCCTCTAACGACGCTGCAACCCCTGATCTCAGCCCGCCTTCGTCTTCGCCACCCCACACCCCGCCGCCACCTGCCCGGCCGACGCAACGCACCAAGAGTGCCCGTTTCCACCGGCAGAGCGCAGTGGACCATGGGGACAGGGGAAGGGAGGGGGGAGAAAGAGGTGAGAAAGGTGTGGTGGGGGAGCAGACAGAAATTCAGGTGTTGATGGAGGGAGGCAGTGTGGGAGGTGGAGGAGGGAAGGGGGAGTATCCACGGGCCAACAACTGGAGTGAAGACAAAAGAAGGGGAGTGTTGTCCAAAGGAGGTGGGGTCAGTGGGCGAGGCACTAGCCGGACCAACGGACACAAACACAGCTCCTCTAATCACAAGTCGCGGGAGCACAGCTCTTCCAATCACAGACAGGCCAGGTGGACAGAGTCATCCTCATCTGCCTCTTGGACGTCCAGCCACAGGGGCGTGCACGGCAGGGGAGGCCGGCTGCTGGAGCAGGACGAGGAGAAAATTAGCAACTACGAGATGGAGATGAAGCCTTTACAGCCCAGAGACTCAACCACCCACAAGCCCCATGGGCACGGGGAGGAGAGGCACGGTCACGGAGAGGGGCGTTCACACGCCGTACAGCGGCAGAGGCATAAGAACCGAGATGGGAGGGAGGGAAGGGAAGGGAAAGAGGGGAGGGAAGGGGGAAAGGACTCAGCGCACAAGCTGGACAGACAGGGGGAGAAGCTGGACTCACGGCCTCTGCGCCGGGACCTCACCCTCTCCCCCCCTCTGAAATCCTCCCCCATCACACCGACGCAGAAGGACCACAGCCTCACACAGAGCAAAGGCAATTCGGTAAGACCGTCTTATTCTCTTACACGCCGACACTTTACCAGCTCTAAAAGACGAGGTTAAAATGGCACAAGGGATTTTTTTTCCCCACAGAGCTGTTGATTTCTGGCACTTAACGTCTAAATCATCACTTGCACTTCACTAGCCACTGGAATATAACAACTGACCGCTATAATGTTAGATTAATGATTCTTCAGACCATTTTTTTCAGCTTTAAATCTTAAGGTTGCAATCAGACCTGAAAGTTAAACTGTTACAACACAAATACCTCTGATGGCACAAAACTCAGCTCTTATGTTCCTTGCCTTGAAAACAACAATAAGTAGTTTTCTTGGGGTACTGTGTGTGTGGTTGCATTGCATGAGAGAGGACACAAGCAGCTATACGCAATATCCATCCATCCATCCATCCAGGGGAGGGGGGGGGCTGGAACCATTCCCAGGCACAGGGGGTAAGAGGAAGGGTACACCCTGGACAGGTCACCAGTCTGTCACAGGGCTTTTATGCAAGAGTTTTATAAATTTGTATGATTTGGGCTTCAGTTAAGATTAGTTAAACCTCTTAGCTCTCAGAAATCCTGCCTATGCCAAACTTGCTCAATAGTACACCACTCTGGTTTCTGTGCTTTTTGTGGTCATATACTGTGCCTGATGCACATTGACCGTGATGAGCTCTCTCATTTATTATCACGCTTTGTGCTGATAAATTTGTGCTGAAAGCATTTTTATTATTCTCAGGAACAAACAGCTGCAGAGCAGATTGGCAAAGTCAGCAATTTCTTTAATTAGTTTGATTTGTTTTACTGAACGGTAACACAAACTTTTCTTCTGGTTTGGATCCGGTCGTCTTAATAAATACTGTCGTATTCCTGTGGATGTGGCCATGTGAAAGAAACATACAGACCTGTTTCAGTAATTATATATCTGTGGAAACAGTTCCTCCACGTCTGTTTGGGAGAATTGCCTTAATGTGCTTAAGCTTAACTTCATATAATACTGTGTTTAAACCTGTCGGAAGGATTCTGCAGCCCTGTCTCAACAAAGTCATGACTTAATTCATGACTTAAACAAACCTATTTAAAAAAACACAACATCTGGAAAGGCTGCACTCAAAAAAATAATTCATTGGATGAACGTAATTTTATCTTGCCACTTATATTCCATCTAAACAAATCATGTTATATTAATCCATCTTGGTTGTGTTGTGTCAACACGATATATGTGTGTAGGTTTAACATAATATTAACATTAACATTCAATTAATTTGACTTTTGTTCAATCAACGTGTTTGTACCACGTTAGTCTAATTAGATTTATTTAAATTCATCTTATATTGTTTAAACACTTTGGCACATCAAAAGTCAGTCTTGTTACATGAACTAGTAAAATATTTGTTTGTTACACCAATGATAATTTTGTTGAATGAATGAAATGTAACTTATGTCTGTAGTACATGTTGTATTCATATAAATAATGTTCAACAAAAAAAGTCAACGGATTTACAGCAACTTCCAATCCACCCATCTTCTTATCTTTATCTGGGCTGCGGAAGTGATAGGCTAACAGGGGCAGGGTACACACTAGGTCGCTAGTCTATCATACAGAGACAAACAACCATTTGCACTT